GATGCTAAAACAAATCTCTGAAAACTGTGGTGTAATCATGGGATCCTTATTATCAAAAAGAACATGCACAAGTTTAATTTAAATATGTAAACTCCACACCAGAACAGAAAACATCTTTGGTTTGATGCATAGAATTTATAAAGCACTGTTGTTGAATATCACCATTCTTCAGAATGGCATTGGGGAACATGTGACCCAATGTCTAAAAACAGTTCAATCTGAAGCACAACTGGACCCTAAAATAAAGCAACTGGTAAACTTCTGAAAGATCGAAATAGTGGATGCTGTTTTTGTTTTTTGTTTGTTTTGTTACCTCTTTACATCACTGGAATATTAACCTAAATGCAGTTTCCTATTGCAGAAGATTCGGTGGTATTTGAAATAGTATTTTCTTTAGATATAAGGAGATTAAGAACATTTAAATGAAACAGAATCTGCCACAACCCTTGATGATGAAGCAGCAAGATGACTTTTCTAAAATCGTGTTGGATACCAATGTATCCTCATGAGTTTTAATCCTTCTGCATATTCACTTATGTTCTTCTTAATTTTGTTGCCACTGTCCTCAATTTATTGAAAGTTCGGCTATTGGTTTAATCTACCTAATGCAATGCAGTGTTAGGACATATGATTCCCAACAGACTCATTACTTTGAACACAGAATACCTGTGAGTCCACTTATACATCTCGTTGGAGTCAGAAAGCTGACCAATAATCACTTGATTTTCATTAATGTAATTGTATGCTTCTAGCTGCAAAAAAAAGCCATTGTGTTTTTAGGAACAAACCTGAGAAAACCTTAGAAAGTGTCTTTGCTACATATCAGCCCAAAACCTTGTTCCTCTTACAGGAGTGCCTGTGCTTCCTTACCTGCTCATCTCAGTCACCTTAATGCCTCCTAAGGAGTTTGCAAAATTCTTGCATGACCACATACTACTAACACCTTAAAAAGTTATCTTATTTTCTTTTCAATCGGTGAATTATATTATACATATTTATGGCCTTTGTATATATTTATATATATATATTTTTTTTTTTTTTTCTTGTGCAAAAATAGCATTCTAAAATAAGTAACAATTATGTTTAATTTGAAATAAAAATGAAATATTTCCTAACCTAGTCACATTTTTTTTCCTCTTAACCGAATTATTATGTATATGATAAAGACGCAAAGGCATCAAAAATTGTTATCTAATTGGCAGCTTCTGTTTCTATCTCAATATCAATAGGCTTGAAATGACTCCCTGGCATTGCACTTTAGATAATATCATTGGCATTCTTACAAAAGGCTCTACGTAGGCAGTGGATTTTTGCTTTCTTTTATTACAGCATTAAAATGTGTCTTGTTCCCCTTGCAAAGACACAATCCTGCTGAATCTTTCCATCTGCTTTGAGATTGCTTTATTACAAATGAGGTCATTTTAACTCAATGTAAATGGGGTTATGAATTCAGATGTCACAGTTAATGCCCCCTATTCCATTCTCAGCACCACAGCTTCTTGCTCCTACAACAATGCCTAAACAACCTCACTCCCCCTGCTTTCAGTTTCCCAGAATCTAATCTGCCTGCCTGTCCCCTTCAGCCAAAGCGATGTGCATGTCTGCCTGACCAACTCTCCAATCCCGCTCATCCTCCTCTTTCCATCCTTTCGTCTTCCTGCATCCATGCAGCCCGCCCCCAGGCCTGGCAGAAGAATTTTTTATTTTTTTGCTCTGACTTAAAGGAAAATCTATTTAACATATCTGGAGCTTTTGCTAGTTATCAAATGTTGACTCTCGGGAGTGATGCCTGGAGGAAAAGTTTAAGCTCGAATCCATATTTGAACAACTAAATACCTTCCGAAAATCATAAGGTTATGCAGGCATCCTATCATTTTAGGAATATACACCAATGGCATAAGTAATTTATCAAGTGGAGCCACATTAGTCAGTTGCAGCGAACAACTTCACTTTTATTTAATGTGCTGTTGGCTACAGTTCACTGCCATACTGTATATTCTGTTTGATTCTAACTATTTTTTGTTACATAATCTATATAATTTATATATTTACTGATTAAAAATACTCTGCCACTAAGTCCATATTTTGTACCGCTACATATGTTTTATGTGCAGATATATCAATTCTTTTTTACATAATGTAAGGAAAAAAGAGCAAGCAGGATCTTTGGAGTGGGTTGATATGGTACTAAAATATTCAATGCAAAACAAAAAACTTACAGCAAATCACAAGGAGAACAGAACATGGAGCTTTGAAGGGGGGAAAAAGCAATTAGACAAGCTGGGTATGGGAGAATCCAGCACTGAATAAAGGCAAAACTCATACTTAAATAGCAGCTAAAGCAGGTAAGAGGCGTGAGCATAATTGGCAGGTTGAGATGGTGGTATGTGAGCTTGATTGTGCTGACCATTAAGGATCATGGAAATGAGAAGGGAGATGGAAAAGAGAGAAAGAGCTGAGCTGGGACTAGAAGAAACCATTAAAAAACGGGTAAGGGATAAATAGAAATAAATTCAAATACTTCTAAAATTAAACAAGAACACAATAATCTATTAAACTAAACACAAAGGGAATGAACTAATAACGCAAAAGCTATCTTATAATAAAGAGCAATGTGTGAGACAAACACTAAGGAGCATGAAGAAATTGTTGAAATATACATTAGTTCTGCACTCCAAAACTCTGCCCTTTATGGATTTTCTTTTGGGGAAAGCCAAATGAAAGAATCCCATCAGAAGTCCCGTTTGCACTTTTCCTCAAACCATGTTGGGCACACAGCAAAAATGGGGAAATGAGAACTTGGGTCAGAAAATACTAACATTTTGGGGCTTACATGCGAAAAATAGAACTCCTTCCTCAAATATTGCCAAACTTCATAATTACACATGGTGATGGTAGTAGCACAGTTTGGGGATGTTATTCTTTATTAGAAATATAAAAGCTTATATTACAGGAAAATAAATTGGGTTAAAGAAAGTGCATGTGTGGAAGAAAACCTGTTAAGGCTGCAAAAGACCAGTGACTGTAAGACTGTAGTGCAACACTAGGCATTACAAAGCAATGGCTTGGAGATCATTGCTCGTTAATCTGTTCACACCTATTAATTAAGAAGAGGTGGAAAGCTAGGCCTTGTAGATAATTGTTCTCCAGTCAGCCTAAACCTGAGATTTTTTGGTAAAGAAGAATCAGAAAATAAAATAAAAATGTAACTTTAATACTTTAATATTTACTTTAATATTGACTGCCATGCGGCAGCACAAACACACACACACACACACACACACACACACACACATATATATATAAATATATATATATATATATATATACTACAATAATAATTTTTTGACCAAAAGAACAACAGATGTATCATTTGTGTGTGAAAGAAATAGAGTGTAAAGATAATGGGGAAGATGCTCAGGTTTCTGGAAACATTGTGAGGGTAGTGATGGCATTAGGATGTGGATGGCACTTACCTAGGCTGTAAAAGCATTTATTTCCCGTGTGCTAGAAAAGTGTTGAAATGGTAAGAAGTGCAGCCTGCTCATATTGATCAGAGCTGACAAGTATGGCCAAGGCAGGCCTTTTCTGCTGTATCAGTGCTTTCCTGACTTTTACGAGAGGTGCTCATGTGTGGGTGGGGAGAATGGTGGGTGGGCAAGGGAGACTGCACATGCCGTACAAAGGAGTCATCTTTCTGTTGTGGATTGGTGGTAAGTAGCCATTTGTAAACCGATCTTTGGATGAGGAAATTTAATGGTCTCCTAACCGTATTTACAAGCTATTCAATTTGATAAAGGGTGCGATCTCCAATGAATCTTTGCATGCCACTCTGCTCATCTTCCAACAGTTGAATTCTGGAAATCATTCAGTTCTTTTTTTTTTTTCTATTTTATTGTTTTAATCTTTAATTAAACCTTAATGCCATCAAACAACAAAAGGGTCAATACTAACAAATTCTAATGCTTGCATATTCATGTCTGTCCCAAACAATTTTCTCACTACACTGCTGAGTTTCTTTTTGTTAGTCTTATTTAGATTCTCTTGGGAATTGTGTTAAATTGTGAAAATATTGTTTGGGCTTTTTGCTGGTTTAAACATCAAACGGTGCGGAAAACGGAATGGGGGAATATTAAAATGCGTGCGTGGAAGAAGCTCACTGGGGCTACTGATTAGTGCACCAATCACTGTCATCAGAATTCATTTGGTGGTGACAGATTTAGAAAATGAATCCTCTAACTGACTAATGATCATAATAACTGCTATGAAAATATGTTTGACGCTTTCAGTTTTTGTACCCCAAACCCCTCCACACTCACCCACACACACACACACTCCCATCCACATCCTCTAATGTTGTAAAATGTTTGCACTTAGGTTCATACATATGAATAGGTATTGTCTGTGTAGATAAATATCTCATGTGTGCATACTTTATTTATAACATACAAATCATTAGCACAAGTTTTATTTTCATTAAACTATTGTGAATATGGAAAAATACGGGCCCTGTTTTCCAGTTAGTTGTATTAATTTATTCTTTATTTATTAGGTAACAACTGATTTTGATCAGTTTTATATTTAAAAAAAATTTTTATTTAACCTGTTTCAGTCTTTGCCCCTTATTTACACATCCAAGCCTTCTGAGTCAGTGTTGAGTTTTTGTGGTAGTTGTGCGGCAGCCGATTTGCACATTCTTATTAAAGAAATAAATATCCCTCCCCATCTTCTTCATATATTTATACCTTATGTAAAATTCAGAATAATAATAGTGCAAAAGTCGATTAAATATTTATCAGTGTTTAATATTGCATGGTATTTTCTAACTTTCAGAGAGGGAACTTTATAGAGATAGCAGTGTTCAGTGTTAAATGAAACAATTTCAGGTATAACATTTATCGCTGGGGAACCATTCTCTACAGAGGAAATATAACTAAATCATGTAGTCAAGAGATTTGTTCCCACTTGTTAAAAAACATATGTTTCTTCCTGTTTTGCAGCATCCCCATCGTCGTGTGACCTTTTCTACCACCAACCCAGTGCAGGACCTGCAGGACGCCTCACAGCACAGCTACTATGACAGTGGCTTGGAAGAGTCGGAGACCCCCAGCAGTAAGTCTTCATCTGGTCCTCGCATCGGACCCCTGACCCTGCCCGAGGACCACTACGAGAGGACCACCCCAGATGGCAGTATCGGAGAAACAGAACACCCAGAAAACGGTACAAAAGCAATGTCTTTCATTTTTTTCTTGTTACATTACAATAATTCAATACAGTGATAGAAAACTAATAGAATGGCATAATGATACAATAATTTCAAGTAATTTTAATGCCAAAACACAATTTCTTAAAATTTAATATACTTTCTTAATATTTTCTTGAATAATTTTTAAATAAATACATGACACTAACTATTTGAATAATTATTATCTCTTAACATCTGTAGGTTAAAAATGGCAAAACAACACAATACTAGAGTTTGGTATCTTAAAAATAAATTAAGGCAGGTGCCCACTCAGTTCATGGTAGGTATACAGTTGCTTTATAATCTTGCTCTTTTCTGGTGATAAACATATGAATTTATGTTCAAGGTTTGGGATATTTTTCTTTAACGTAACTCTGCTTAAAAGAAATTCTTGGTAAATTTTTGCAACAAAAATAAGGTTAATTTAATTTAGAATTTTCAGGTCATATAAAGCACCTGGCTTTGTATGTCTCCAACTCTATAGAAAACCTGCCTATGTCATTTTAGAGGGTCAGACCATTCACTTAATAAATAATGTGACCTTATGTGCCGCTTTAGGGCGGTACTATGGTGCAAACTTCAGATGTTTATTTGGACTTTAAATTGTCAATATAACACAAAATATAAGGCCAACACTTTCTTATTTATGTTTTAATATGCAGCCATTAAAGTAAACTTTCAGGGGTTCCTAATGAATTAGCTCCCAGTAATTTCAGACTACCAGTTGGTATGAATTCAGAGCCTTCCAATCTTCTATAATATTTATCTTCATTCTATCTCCATACCAATCTTTTACAGATTTTAAGCATCCGGTACCTGGGAATCAATATTTTAAACAGACTGAGCTGACACACTTTTCCTATTGCTCAGAATAATTAAATACTAAATCAAACAGTGGAGAAATCTCTATTTCTCACTCGTAGGAAGAGTGTCTTATGGTGTTTTTTTTAATAGCAAAAACTGCATTTTCTCTTAAATTGCAATTTAACCACTTCAGATTATGGGCATTGGATCCTTGGCACCAGGGTTGCTCTGGGATTGAATTGGGTCTGGCAAAGAGGAGTGGGTGAGGGTAGGGATCAGCAGTCTCTGGAGCAATGGAGGTTTGGCGTATGGGCTCTTTTCTTGCCTAATGCTGCTTCTGCTGGTATGAGCTGATTTGAGGTAGGGTCAAAAAGAAGATCCATGAAGCTTGTTTTGCATGAGTGGGAAAGAACAGGTTCCAGGATTGGGAGAGTTTTTAGGGATTTGTGTTGAGAAGGGGTTAAAGGACATTGGTTATATTGAGATAAATAATAGGGTTTTTTAAAAGCTGTGTGCAACTGCCAGATCAAGTAGGGTGCCTGTAGTCTTGCTGGTCAAGTGCAACTCTGGGTCCTGAGCTGCCCAGGGAGGTATAAAACAAAATTCTTTAAAAAAGAAGTCAAGGATTCAAATTGCCTTTTCAAACTGGCTAAAAAGTTTTCTGTCCAAGCAAACATAGTACTGCATAAAGTCAGTAAGTTGCAGCCTGTAAACTTTCTAGATGACCACATAGCAAAAGTGGGTGATCGGTTATTTTGTGTTGTAAACATTACAGCATCCCTCATAGTGAGAGTGCATGTATCAACATTGTAGAAGTATGCTGATAAAGATCCTCAGTCATCCAGGTCATAGTCATTGCGTAAAAGTTTAAAAAAACAATCCACTGGACTTGGTTTAAACCAAGTCCAGTGGATTGTTTTTATAAACTTTTACGGAATCAGAGAAGTAGTGTAATCTTTAACATCAAAAAACTTCCTGCATAACCAAAGTCAATCTGTCCATCTGCCATGACCTACTGGGCTCAGAGGAGACCTCTGCGAAAGAACACAGAGGCCCTGATTTAGCTACCATGAAGAAAATGAACTGGAAAAGAACATGCAGTTAAAAGCTGAAACTATATCAAAATTGGAGAGTAGGGGAATCTCTTGTGACTGCAAAACTTCTTTCTTTCGTTTTTCTTTTTATTTATTCTTTTTTTTTTTGTTGTTTTTTTTTGGCGGGCGGTGAACAGCCGCTAGGTAAATACCGCGATCAATACATCTTTTTATGCAGGCCAGGTGCCTCCGGGCGCATCACTGCTCCCTCAAGATACTGGCTTGTTCATCATTACATGGGCATTACTCTGTCGAACATTATGTATAACTTAGGCTGTCTTTGGACATAAGTTTTGGACTCATTATGAATACTGTATGTATATGCCAAACATTGAAAAAATACATAGAAAGTTCAGCGTATGCCAGCGTTTTAGAAGATTCTGGGATGTCAGGCATACGCTGTCTAAATCAGTGTGACAGGGCCCTAATCTAGATCTTCAATAATACTTGTACTGTGTTGCAATGATTGCAACGTTACCAATTGGAAAGACATAAAAAGAATGGGCCAAGTGCTGAACCCTGCCCTCCACAAGTAATATGGAGTAATGTAAGAACATGATTTATCATTTAAAAAGAAAAGACTGGGATCTGTATAAAATACCATTTCATTAAATAATAAATAACCATTTAATTTAAATGAACAAAGTTCTACTCTCTTGATCCCTCCAGTATCTCAAGCATTTTTAAACGGAATAATGTTGACAGTAAAACAGACGTGTGTGGCTGCAACATAAGAAATTGTAAAAAAGTTTAAGAATAACAAATAGTTTTGCTGCATGCCTGTGATTATTTTTAGTAATGAGATCTATTTGACAGATGTGCTCTGTAACTATTTGTGCGGTGGCACTGAGACTGTGTACTGTTGACTGTTTTTTTCTTTTTTTATGCAGATCTTTGCCTCTTCGAGTGACTGTTTGTGTGTGAGTGTTGTTTAAGGGCTTGCATAAACAGGGTCTCCATCCCCCCTCATCAGTACAATCTCTGTCAGACATCCTTAATGACCCTCTCTCACAAGTGTGCTAATTAAAAAAGCTAAACTAATGGAGCATTTGCCCCCTAAATAAATCTGACCCATGACATCCGGGCAGAAAACACCATGTTTTGCTCTCTGTGGACAAAACTTACACAGCCCTTTAGGTTCACACGTGCCATCAGTTTTGAGCACTGTAATCCATATACAAGCAGATTTCCATTAAAAAATGAAAACATCATGTTCATCTAGCGGTCTTGTGATAATTATCTTAAGGTGCCAAATAAAATGCAGTGCTTTTGTAACAATATGACTGATTTGCATGTTGAATTTCTAGCTTTCTATTTACTGCTGGGCAAGAGCCACTCACTTTTATATTAATTGCTTTGTTGCAATAATGTGGTTTTATCTCATCATCATGTAGGCTTTTCTCTTTATCTATTGGTTTTGAGACTAATGCTTTCACAGACTTATAAATAAATTAATAACAACACAAACACTGATGCTATGATACTCAGAGGAATCTACAAAATAACATTGTAACAATGTCTGTGAGAGTGTGTGTCGGAGTAATCAATCAAACACATTTCTCTTAGAGAATACATTTTATATAGTATGGGAATATGCAAAGTGCTAAAAAAGTTAAAAGCAGAACATTTTTTTTTTAAAGTTTTACACATGAGGATGTATATATGAAAATAACAACAACAAAAAACATTAAACCTAAATGTTCAGCATAAATGTCATGTCTAGCTGAATAAGTAAATCAAAATGACTTTGAAGGATAGTCAAGCAGATTGATGCTATCAAAAAAGGTTTTTTTATTATCCCCATTTCTGTGCATTTCCCCTTTCTTATACAAAGCATGCTTGCCATCCTTCATGTCTTGTGCGTTGCTTTTTAGGCACTGAAACCAAAAAAAAGAAAAAAAAGATTTTCACTAAAGAGCAGGTAAAGAGCCTTATTCATCTTTAGGGCAAATATCATACACACTACAAACAAGTGGGTCAGAAATAACCCAACTACTGCTGGGCTAACCCTAGCTGGGGTGGTCCAGTATTTTTATTGTTATATTATAACCCAACAAATGGGTTATAATATTCTACCCAAATTATGAGTTGAATTAAATGCAAATTTTGATAAATCTAGCAATGCATATTTGTTGTTGCCTCTACTCACATGCTGGGTTGAAATTAATAAACAACCTGGGTTTTTCTAACTTTATAATGTGGTATTTCTTCTGCCCAAATGCTGAAAGAAATTAGCCACAGTTTTAGATTGTTTCACCAGCTGCATTTTTTTTTTTTGCTTAGTAAAATTACCTTAGAATAATTTTAACATTTTACAGTAGAATCACTAGGAAAATAAATCACATTTCACTACCCATACATTTATATATATATAAATAAATTCTAAATCTGTTCATGCAAAGCATGTTTTATGCAATAAACACAATCATGGAATCTTTAAAAGGCACCACCATCAAATGTATTAATACTTAAATACCCACAATACAAAAAGGAAGCTGTAATATTTATTATGGAACTTAAATTAGTGCAAATAAAACAATGTAAAACACTGTATAACAACAGAGAAGAGCACTAGCCCAATTGTCAAACTGATAATAACTAGTTGTCCCTGAGTTAGCTCCACTGACAGCAAGTATTTAGTAATTTAAAGAAACTCTACCCTCCTGGCATCTCATAGACTGCTCTTTGCAGGAATTCCCACAAATGTTTACTCTGCATTAGGTATTTAATGTGTAAGATTAAAAAAGGCTTGAAGCAAACATTGATGGCTGGAAGCAGTATGCCGTAGTGCAATGGCTATCCAGCATTGGTGCTCAAGATACATGCAAATTATATATATATATATATATATATATATATATATATATATATATATATATATATATATATATATATATATATATATATACAAACCCCACAGCCTGTCCCTACATACATGGTACAGCATGTACTGTAGCAGCTTGATACAGTGATAGCCATAGTGTGTTCCCAGGTGGAGCATGTCTTTCCAGCTGATGAGTTCAAAGCACAATTAGCCCAAGTTCTGGGTCAACAGATGCATGTTGGGTTGATGGATT